AAATAAAATGCGTATTGTTATATATTGCTACTATATGTTTCTACAGTTTGTATATGAGAAAGTATGATTAAAAGTCGATGAGAGACTGTTTATAAATTTTGATTGCTTCATAATTTTAACTCTGAGCAACATTTTTATCATAATTATAGGCTTTCTTAAAGCATTTATGCAGATTGTTTTATTCAAAAGGGTTTATATTCCATATAAACTCCACTCTTTTATCTCTCCATAAAATCAGTGTGTGAATTCCCAGCAACCACAACTCCACTAGACAGTCATCACATTAGTAGCAGAGATATTTTCACACAAGGCAGCATTCCTCAGACACTCTGAACATTAATTCCTGCTTCCCCATCCCAGGGAGTGTCATGGTGTCAGATATTAATAACAACCCTTAACACGTTTGTTGCCATTTTATCTGTCCTTAAAAGTATTAGCAAATATATACTCGTAATTCCTCTGTGAAGTTTCTATGTGTTATGGTAGCCAGTGTATCTATGGTTCAGTGGAGGCTCAGGAGATTAAACCAGTTACCTCATAACTTCATCTCAGGGAGATTTAAATCCAGGAATTCAAATGGAGAGCTTCTGTTCATTGCAGTGGGAATCTTGTGTCTTAATACCCTGGATCCCTACGAATGTTGAAGCATAAAGGACTTACCCGAGGACCTCAAGCTGTTTCTTAATCGTTGTCACCATTCAGTTGATGGCACTGTTTCAGTGAGTGTGAACTGCTTTTGTGGTCTGCAGCAGAGAGTAAGTCCATTGCTCTCAGTTCAGATTGGCTCATGACCATATTGCCTGCGAGCAGAAGGCTCACAAAGGATAGGAAATGTCCATCCCAGGCAAAAGCCAAGGATTACTGGAGTGGGGACAATCAAGGGTGTCAGGATGATTGGTTGAAGCTTGAGGCAACAATTGGAGAGCATAGATGGATCTAATGTAACAGAAAAGGGATTTGAACCAGTGGCAGTCCTGGCAGTGTAACTGAGGAGCCCAGCAAAAGTGAATCGTCTTCACTAGAAGAGGAACTGAAAGGTTTGGGTAGCTTCACAGCAGTCACTGTCTCAGCAAGCCATGGCTCATTATGGTCTTCTCCTCCCAGTGACCTTAGAAGGCACTTCTCTAGCACTGGAACATCTCATTAAATACAACTAAATATACACCTTCTATTTGCATATACAGCTAGGACCTCAAATGGACAATGTGCTATCACCTCCCTCAGGAAATACAAATATGTAATGTTAAATATATACGAAATATGTGCAAACAATTTTGCCATCACAGTAAAAGTTAGACCTTCTGGTACATGGGCTTGGATGCTCAGAAGGAAACTGACTTCTTAAAGCCGTAATATGTTCTGGTGGGCTCATGGCAGTGACGACAGAGTATCTAAAACTAATCTAAAAGTTTCATTTATCAATATGGCTTTGAGGAGCCACAAGACCTGATGATAAGCCACGCTCGATTTTACAGCACTATCTTCAACTTTCATGATTTCTTCAAATGACTGGATCACATTGCAGAGGGATGACCTGATCCCTACTCACAAGACACTTGAAAAACTGATATGCATATCATATCATATAAATTCTTCATTTGAGCAGTGTGGTTCAGACTTCAGTCCCTATTGAAAGAGGAGACAAATTTAAGACCTAAAAAAAAAAAAAAAACCACTAAGAAAACAATCTGATTACTATCTGCTGCTCTAAATGGAAAGAGAGAATTAACACAAATAATGTAAATACTGAGTTTTGTGCAGCAATGCAATTAGGTTCCACCTGTTGATTTTTATTGCTTTATAGCTTATATACAGGTCTTGTAGCTTCCCTCTGATTTCACTCCAGTGTAGATCAGGTGTAATTCCATCATAGTCAGGGGAATCAAGCCCATGGAAGACACGATTTTATAAATCTTTGTGTTTCCTATCTACAGCAGAAACCCTATTTAATCCTCAAATAGTAAAATCATAGTCATCTTTATTTCTATTTCCCATGTTATTTTAGTAATTTTCCAGCTCTGTCATTTGAACTTGCTGTAATATATGCACCCTAAAAATATACTAATATTAATGATTGAAATATGGAAATAAATACAAGTTGAGAGCCTGGATTTCTGATGATACTGCAATTGGAGAGAGTGCTGATCTGTATTTCAGAACAATTTTAGGGCAGTCAGGTTGTCATTGGTCTTAATTTCAAGATTTGATAAAACTGCTGCATTTGAGAAAAAATGTATTCATCTATGTCAATTAGGTTTTGACTTCTGAGGTTTGGAACCCTTTCATGGCAGAATGCTGAAAAGCGGGCAGCCTTGTATATGTTGGAATGTAATAAAATACACATACAAGTATACTGGTAAAAAAGCAATACATTAGAGATAACAGAACATCCAGTTTTAGGTGGCAAGAGGAGTTTTTAGTATCTGTCAAGAATATCAATAAATACTTTTTCCAGATTTCTTGTTTGGTTTCTTGTTTGCAACCAAGGGTCATGGTTTTACCATAGCATTTCTTTGCAGGCAGATAGGCTATATAACAGCTACAGGCATTTTTCTGCATGAGAGAATTGAAAAAAGACTGTTCACAGCTCCACTCCAGAGCCAGGGACCAGCCTCAAAGCCAGCCCTGAGTATTTTCACAAACTGCTGCACACCAAAAGTTGCAGCTAAAATTTACTGACTTTGAAAAACTCAGAGGCAATTGTTCCAGAATAAAACCTCATTTCTTCATTTGACCCAATGCCAGGCTGTAGTTGGTGTTATAAGGGTGTGGAAGAAAGCTTACCTCAGGACTGAGATTTGGTGACCTGAGAAGTTTTCCGTCCCCTCAGCCTGGAGTGCTCTAGGCACCACTGGAAGAGGTATATGTCTATATATCTATGCCTATATAAGTGTGTATATGTATATATGTCTGTATGTCTAGAGATAGATTAGATAAAGATAGAAAGAGATGATATAGCTATATAGATTAGATATAGACACAGATATATAGAGAGATATGCATACAGTTGTAGATATAGATTATATAGCTATATATATAGTCTGTATAGATAGAGATAGATATACTTTATTAATATTGTTTTTATTCTGGGATTTCTGAGGCAGCAACTTTCAGGTCAGTCCCAGAAGCAGTGTGTGTCCTGTGCTGTCTCAAGAACCCTGGAAAGGGCTGGGGGCGGCTCCGAAGCCGCGTTCTAAATCCACTTCCCCTGCCCTCTAATCCCCCGGGGAGGGGGGGACCTCCCCATTGCTTCGGGCAAGGGAATGCGGGCAGTCCTTTCTCCCCCTCTTTTCTGAACACCTGAGGCGGGGTTAGGGAGCATTCATCTTCATTCTGTGAAATTAAGAGTTGAAAGCCCCCTCAAAGCAGCAATCGAACAAAAATCCGCAAAGAGGAAAAGGCTGTAATCACGCAGCAGAGCTTTGGGGGCCTGGGAGGGGAGCGAGGGGCGAGTTCGGGTTAAATGGGACTCCAAGACAGCAGACAGCAGTGGCTGCATAGGATCAATAATCCTCCCGTGTGTATTCCTCTACTCATTTAACATCAGCTAGGACAGTGGAAACACTGCAACTGAGTCCTTGACGAGGAAATCAGCTGGGTGTGTGGCTAAACCGTGGTTAATTATTAATATGAACAATTCTTGTAAATTAAATGTTTCATTTAATCCCCTCATGTCGACTTGTTTTGGAAGCTTCCAAAACAATAATGTGGGTGCAGACTTATTCTAGGGAAATTGTTATCATCCATATAATATCATTCATACAGTGAATTATCATCTTTTCTGTTCTTGCTTCGTTCTAGCCAGCTGAGCCAATGAACAATTTTTGGTATAAATATTTATGACATTTTTTTAAGTGTTTGAAGGAAATTTGTCAGGGGGGTCCCTCAAAGCACAGAGGGAAATCACATCTCGGTGATGATGTGGGTCTTGGAAATGCAAGTTCAGAAAGAAAAGCAGCTTGTATTCTGAATAGTAACTTGGGAAGAAATTAACCGTGACTAATATATTTTTCTTTCTGCTGCTCCTAATCTCGGTCTTGCCATGTCCTAGGCGGTCTCTGCCACTCTTCACAGCAGGTCTGAACGCGATCCTTCACTCACCCTACAGAGGCTGTGTTTGTGCCTCTGCCTGATTCCTGCACTTATGGTCTTTCCTTTCCCTGCTGCCTTCTCCTCCAGCAAACCCCTCAGGTCCCACTGTAGAAAACAGTCCCTGAAACCTCGGACTCTTCCCTTTCCTTCTCTCTTCCCTTTCCTTCCCTCTTCCCTTCCCTTTTCTCTTTCTCTTTCTCTTCTCTTCTTCCCTCCTCTTCTCTTCCCCTCCCTTCCCCTCCCCTTCCCTTCCTTTCCCTTCCCTTCCCTTCCCTTTTCCCTTTTCCCTTCCCTTCCATTCCCATTTCCCTTTTCCCTTCCATTCCATTCCCATTTCCCTTCCCTTCCATTCCCATTTCCCTTCCGTTCCCTTTTCCCTTCCCTTCCATTCCCATTTCCCTTCCATTCCCTTTTCCATTTTTCCTTCCATTCCATTCCCTTTTCCCTTTTCCCTTACCTTCCATTCCCTTTTCCCTTTTCACTTGCTTGCCCCTTCCTTCCTTCCTTCCTTCCTACCTTCCTTCCTTCCTTCCTTCCTTCCTTTTCTTCCTTCCTTCCTCCCTCCCTCCCTCCCTCCCTCCCTTCCTCCCTTCCTTCCTTCTTTCTTTCCTTCCCTCTTCCTCCCTCCTTCCCTCCCTCTCTTCCTCTCTCCTCTCCTCTCCTTCTCTTTCCTTCCTTCCTGCACTTCAGGTTCAGAAGAGCCGCTGCAAGTTGAGGTATGAAGAGTCCTGGGTTTTCCAGTATATACAACAATCAGCCCCTTTGAATGAGCCATCATATTTGTCCTTAATACCGACTTTCCCAAGCACTATTCTCATATTCCTCTGGTTGAAATGTAGGAAGGTCTAGCATAATTTGGAGGTCAGAACTCTAAATAAGCCTGCTTTAAATAACAAGCCCACACGGGAGATTGTCAGTATCTCTATTTTGTATACAGTTTACACACTGGCACCGCTTTTAAAAACCCTATATGTGGGTTAAAACTCAATTTTACAACCCCCATTTATATGAGATGTAGGTTTGACATCTGTTTGCCAGAGTGTTTTGCACTTAGCCTAACACCCACTATTAAATGACAAAATTGTGGCAGGCTGTCAAAGCCAGCTGACTGACAGCTGCTCTACTTTACAAAAAAGCCCCATTCAAATATTTGCAGGGTTGAAGCTTTCTGTAACGCTGCAGCCATTCTCCCCGTTATTTAGCATGTAAAATATAAGTCAAAGTTTTAAAGCTGCTTTCCGAAATGTTGCCGGTTTTCCATATAAAAAGAGCGAGCTGCGGCTGCTGGCGGGGAGTCAGCGCCGATCGCATCGGGTGGGCATCGCCCTGGGTCCCCGCGTTCCTCCTCTCTGCACACCCCAGATAACACTGGCGGTTAGCAGCGCTTCTTAATATTGCAGCTAATTAAAGACTGCGTGTTATTGAAGTGAGAACAAAAATCCACTTAGAAAGGAACGGGAGAAAAAGAAGGAGCGGGTGGGGGTTGTAAAATGTTCCGGGGCAGGCGGAGGAGCGCGCCAGATCCTGGGGAAAGCGTTGGGGGGGGGGACACCAAAGGCACCCTGCGGCCGTTCCCCGTCCTGCCCCCACCTCCGAGTCCTGCCGATAGACGTCAGCTCAGGGCAGCTCTGGAAAGGGGTGCAAGGGACCGGTGGAGGGGGGAGCCCTATGACTTAGTTGAGGTTAATCGCGCTTCTAGCCCCGCTAATGAGGATGTGACATTTAATTCAGGTGGTTACTACGCTCCCGTCAGTTCCCCCGTTTCCCCTCACGGAGAAATACGAGTCTGTGAACGGCAACAGTGGTTTAAACTTAAAAGCTAACTGGTTTTTTATTCTGACGTCTCTAATGATTGTATGCGACTAAGCAGCGCGAAATAGCTGGCGAGGTAACCCCTCCATGCTGAAGAAGTCTTTGCAGCGATTGCCGGGGTCTGTTGGAACCTCGGGAGCTTTCCGCAGCCCCTGCCAGGCAAGCAGGGCTTTAGCTGTCAAACGAATCGGAGGTTAATGTTGGGGAGTGTTATTAATTTATACCTGGAATGAAGACTAGATCCACCCTCCAATAACAGAACACACTCCGGCGATGGGAAGGCTACTGCGGCCGGTCCCTGCGCAGGGCGAGGGCAGTCACCGGGCCGGTACCGCTGGATCCAGCAGCGGGCAACTCCCCCACCTTTACCCCCTTCTGCCCCCCCCCCCCGATCTTTTCCTCATCCTTCCCCCTCTGCCTCACACCTCCCTCCTCCCACACACACGGGCACACGCACCCTCCCACAGCCGGAGCGGAGCAGAAAGCAGGTTGTTCTCAGCTTTACCTGGGCATCTTTAGCTGATTTGTGTCCGTTTTAACAACCTCTATCGACTGTCTTTTTCCTAGAGCGGTTGTCATGTTGATAGAAAGGAACTGGAAAAGAGTATTAAAGGCGGGGGGGGGGGGGGGGGGGGGGGAGCGGAGGGAGGATGCGGGAGGAAAACTAAAGGCGCTGTCTAGGAAAGAGGAGGTCATCGCGGTTAGTGATACGGGGAGGAGAAGGTGCGGACCCTCCGCAGCGATCCTGGGAGGAGGCGGACTAGAAAGGGGCTAACATCCATCCCGGGAAAAGCGGGGGGAAGCAGGAATGAAAGGGGGGGGTGGGCGAGAGGGCGGAGAGGGTTGTTTGAGCATCCCCGGGAAATCCAAGTTTATTGTCAACAAAGGAGGGTCTGGCAGGGCTCGGAGGCTTCGCTGTCCATAGCTGCCGGGAACCGGAAGGGCACGGGGCGGAGGGGGGGGGTGAAGTGGGGCCAGGATAGGGGTCCTGGAGCGGCAGAGGAGGCCACGGTGATGGGCGGTAGGAGGCGGGGGGAGCCCAGGTGCGGGGAGCAGCACCTGGGAGGACTCTTCTTTCCCGGTGGCATGTCTCCCGGGAAAAGGGACAGGGGAGAGTGGCCCAGCAGGAGCGGGGAGGGAGAAAGGCAAGGTTAGAGGAGAAAGTGCGTGTGAGAGAGGGAAAGGGGAAGAGACAGAGGAGGAAGGCGCCGGCTCCACCTCCCCGCTCGGCGCTCCAGCTGCTCTCAAACCAACTGCTCAATTCTATTCACTGCCGCAACGGAACAAAAAAGTGGCTATTTATTTGAATACTTGTTTGGTATTGTTCGGTGCCACACAAAAGGCGTTTCATTATGTTGGGGTGGGGAGAAAAAGCCTCTCTCTTTTTTTTTTCTTTTCTTTTTTTTTCCCCTTTTTCTTTTCCTTTTCTCTCCAGACCGAAACAATAACTTGAAATTGTCTTTAAAGTCTTTTCTTATCAATAATAAATTTCATTTTCTTCTCGCTCTCCCGCTCTCCCTCTCTCCCCCTCTCTCGTGCAGGATGTGTGCGTGTATGTGTGTATGTGTGTGAGAGGGGGAGAGAGAGGGAGTGAGTGAGCGAGAGAGCGCGGCTGGTGAGTGTGCGTGTGTCGCCGGGCACTCGTGGCTTGGGCACAGCCGCCTGGAAGCTGCGGCTGGACGAGGGGCGAGCAGGAGAGGCCGGGCTCGGTCGGAGGAAGGTGTGAGCTAGGCTAGAGCTGAGGGAGAAAAAACCCAAACCCAAACCCAAAACAAAAATATATTAATAATAAGGCTGCCCCTTGAGCTGAGATGTTGGGAGGAGGCTGGAGCTGGAAGAGCAACTGTAAGTGTGCCTCTAACTTTTGAGGGGGTCTTCGCCCTGTCTTGGGAAGGGAGGAGGGGAAGCCGGCGAGGGGAGGGCTTCCGAGTTACTTCTGCTGCGAGGGAAGAGCCGTTTGCAATCACTAGGTTATCGGCTGTGACACGGACTGGGGGGTGGGAGGGGGGGGGTGAATTCAGAGGGTGACAGTGTTTTGGACTGCCCTCCTCCGCCTTCCCGGGAAAGACGCCTCACTGGGTTTTGAAGCGGGGGCCGGAGGCTGCGGAGCGGCGGCTGGGCCGGGACCTGAGGCCGGAGCCGGGGTGGGAGGGCGGCGGGGGACACCCCGGCCCCCGGTGCTGCCTCCCGAGCTCTCAGCGCTCGCTCCAGTTCTACGGTCAGGAATTAACATGTCGGTGCGCGGGTGCCATTTAGTGAAAGGTGTCTTGATCAAAGAATCAGTTTCGGTGTGACTGACCGGCGGGCTTGGCTGTGTCAATACTGCCAAAAAGGGGGGAAAATCAATAGGCAGAGCAGCCCTCAGCTATTACAACTAATGCCTGCTTAATCTCTGCCCCTCGGAGGGAGCATTCAAACGGGCTCTTAGCATTGGTATCGCGGCCGGTCTGAGCCCGGCTCCATCTTCCCTGGGAATGAGGGATCCCCGGAGTTGGTCCCCTGTGAAAGTGACAGCTGCCGGAACCCTTCGGTACGGAGGCTCTGCCCAGCCTCGCCTAATAAAGTCCAGACAGAAAGAAACTCACGGGGCCGGTCCAACCCGGGGTCTTACTCTCCCTCCCCAGCTCCAAGGTGCAGATTCTGGCTATTGCCATAAAGTATCGGGATGCTTAAAAAGTGAAATGGATTTTTCCCTCTCTTATTTGCCGGTGGTGTTTGGGGTCGATCAACAGGCAATGGAGCAAGGCTGCGCATCTATCGATCAGGGAGGGGACGGGTTTTGGCTGAATCTGTTTTCAGAAACAGGTGTTTAAACATGATAGCGTCTCCAGTCAATTAACCCATTAAAACCCCGTTTTATCGCATTGATTCCCGCAGGCTGCCATAAAAGGTTGTTATTCGAAAAGCTCTTTGTTGAGTAGGGGTGTGGATGGATGGATGGATGGATGGATGGATGGATGGATGGATGGAAGGAAGGAAGGAAGGAATGAATAAGGGGAGTAGGGGTGCAAATTGTCTCCAAATGCACAGTATTAAGCTGGCAGTAAGATGGCAACCTACCGTATGGTAGAGCCCCGGTTGCCCGGGCTCGGCCCCGCGGAGGGGCAGAGCAGCCGCTGGGGGCCCGAGAAGCTGCGCCCCTCCCCCCTCCCCGACCACCCGCCTGCCCAGCCCCTGCGGCTAAAGCTGATCCGTCCCCCTCGGGCAAGTGGGACCCGGTGGCAGGGGGGGCAGGAAGACGCCCCGGACGGGGAAGAGAGGTCGCGTCGGGCCGAGGGGCACACTACAGCCCGCACCGGCTGTGGGCCAGGGGGTGCAGCTGACATTACCCCTATAAAGTTGCGAGCGCTGTTGCTCCTTAAATAGGACAGTCTGTGAATAGCCTGCCGGGGGGGGGGCCCCCCCCCAAACTCTCTAGCACCTTTTTCAGGTTTGCCAGCGATAGCGCTATGAAAGATCTATTTGCTACAGGCGCCAGTAGCCAGATTGTTATCCTGGTGAGTGCCAGGGAATCTGTGTACAGGGAATGTGAAGGATCTGTCAGTGATCTGGTGGAATAAAAGCCCAAACATATCTGTGAAAATCACTCATTTTCCAGAAGGCAAACAACCACTGGATCCCGGCTCCGGTATCGCCAGTTGGTGGGAAGGAACCCGTGTTTTCCTCCTCCCTTGCCTGGGGTCGTTATCGCCCTTCCCATGGCCAGAAAGCTGCACTGAATGGAGCAAGAGGATCATGTATTTCCTCTGGATACCTTTAATTTCCAGACTGGTGGTCTGAGGTTATTCAGATGTTTCCAGTTTTACCCTTGTTTGCTGTTTGCTGAAGTAAGCGCTGGATGTGACTGAAAAGGTTTGAAATCGTGTCAAAGTGATGTTTTAATCTCATTGAAAAGTGTATTAAAGGAGAAGATGTAATTTGTGGGAATGTTTCAATGAAAGGAGAGATTGGAGTGGATGATACTTTCAGTCTCCTGTGAACCCCATGTCATGTTTATATTGAAGCCTGTGTAGCTAATCTAATTTGCAATAACAGGATGGCCTGCAAGACAGAAGCTCCTATATGATTTAATTTCTTTCTTTCCTCCTTTATTTTTTACACAAATTCATTCTGACTTGCCCTCAATGATGCTTTTGCAATTTGGGGATAACTGACGGGGATGCAAACCAGAAAGATCCCCTTATTTCCTAGACCGCTCTCCTCCAAACGATGCGGCACAGCCATCAAGAGCCAGGTCGCCCTCCTGTAAATGGAATGCCGCACTTGGGCTTGGCGAAGCTCTTTTTTCGTGACTGACATTTCGACAGCGCAATTTTAAAGATTAACTTCATAATAACTCTCATGTCCTACCTCTTCGACGAGCTGTCCGTCCCCGCAGCTCTTGTTTTTCTTTTTTCCTTTAGAAGTTTAGCCTTACAAAACTATACTTTCAAAATATTTCCCTTATGGTAGAAAGTAAATTGCTGGGTAGACGTTTTTTTGTCTACAGGCGCTCTCGATCATTCCTTTAAATGGAATACCCTAAACCCTAGAAAACAAGATAGTGCAAGCCCTCATCTCCCGCGAGATATTTTGCCATCTGATTAGCACGTATTCCCGGCGTGTGCCTTAGTGATAATAATAATAATAATAATAAATAAAAAATGTGAAAAGACTCGAAAATTACAACTTTCCTGTAATGTTAAAAGGTGTATTTAGCCTGTTAATTACAGGGGATTGTGTCATTGGAATGTTATCAATGACCCGTTTAATTTTACTGTAATTACTGACAAAATAAGACAAGGACAGATCACAATACAGGATATTCCTCTTTCCGAATGATATTGTGCGGAGAGTTGAGCTACTGCGTAACACAAACAAACACTTTAGAAGATGCTCCTGATGGCAAAAGTTCGTTAAGACCCGATTCTGCTTTCTCTACCGACTCCTAACTCCCACCCGGAGACGAATCGGGCCCCTTCCAAGGTGAGGGGGCACTCGGTGCATCCTGCAAGGATGAGGATGGGGAAAGGAAGGGACCCCTTGCCGCGTCGGGGCAGCCTCCGACTGCCGCAGAAATCAAACGTGCGAGAGACCGATACTACTTCTTTTAGGCACAACGAAAATATGAAGCTCATTTTCCAAGCTGGTAAAAACTAGAAAGGAAGGAACAAAACCAAAAAGGGCTGGGATAGACAAACTCTTCGGAAAGGGAAGATATGTCGATACTGGGGAGGGGGGATGGTGATGCAGAATTCCCTCAGAAAAAAATGGTTCCAGCAGTCCTTTTATCTGGCACAATAAATAAATAAATGGAAGTGTTCTGAGCACACACCTGGGCTCCGTGTCGCTTCCGCTGCCCGTGAGGCGAGCGGCTCCTGACCGCAGAGCCCTGGCCGGCCCCAGGAGAGGAAGGCACCTGCCTGCTCCCCTTAGGACTTCAGAAGCCTTCTGGCTCCGTCTCGCACCCCCCCTCAGTTCCCTCCGTGCCCCCCGCCTTTACCCTCAGGCACCACCACAGAATGTTCCCTGCCTGTACACAGCGCGACGGTGGGAGACCCCCGTCAGTTGTGGGGAGGGGGGAGATACACGGAAAACATCCTGGGATCCGAGACCCCCATGCCCGCCCCGGGGAGGGGGGAGATACACGGAAAACATCCTGGGATCCGAGACCCCCATGCCCGCCCCGAGCTGCTCCGGAGAGCCGCAGCGAGATCCCGCAGCGGGGCTGCAGCTCAGGTCCCTCTGGTGTTGCTGCAGCCCGGGCTGGCCGGGCGCGGCGGCAGGACAGCCTTTCTCCTCCTCAGGCTTCCCGTTGGTTGGCACGGCTCTCCTGGGCGAAGGGGGGAGACATTTCTCGTCAGGGGATTTTAGCCCTTTTCTTTCCCCCTCTTTCCTTTTACCCCCCTTCCCTTTCATTCATAAACCTGGTGGCTATAAACGCAGCTTGAATATTGACGTCTCTTCCCCCAACTGCTCCTCCGTTAACCCAATTACAGAATTCATCAAGAACTGTGTTGAATTATCTCTTTCCATACAGTATCAGCATTAGCCTAATTAAAAGCTATAATGTCTGATATAATGATTAAATCGTTAGCTCTGCTGTAGGGAAGCAATATTTTGTTTTCCCTTCAATTAGAAGCTGATTGAGGTTTTCAGAGCAGGTCAGCTGTGAAATTTGAATTATATGTGTGAGTACCGTTCACAGGGTGAGCCCCTACTCGAAAGCTCCAGAGATTCTCCAAACGCTTTTACCCAGCAAGCTGGGAAAAGACAACAAAACACACGAAGAGCCTGTAGCTGATTTGGGACTGGGGCTGTAGGATCTCCCTGAACAGTTGGTAGTGCTGGAAAAGAAAGCAGGAGACTTTGTTCCTGCCCCTTTTTCCTCCATTCCATCCCGGCTGGGTAGCAATGTGTGTTGAAAAAAGTGATGCCTGAGTCGCCAAATCATGAAGGCAGGAATAGGCTTCCCCTCTCTTCCTTCCCTGTCCTCCCTGCTCCCTCCCGGTTGCTCGCTTTGGCCCGGGTGACGGCGCCTAGGGACCGGTTTCCACTTCGCGCTGACCAGAGAAGCTGAGAGTCACCTACCCCCCTCTCTGCCGCCCCGCGTTCCAGGCGGGGCTGGCGAGGGATCAGCCAGCATTCCGCCCCACCGCGAGCATCTCCCCACGGCATCTCCCCAGACCGGGGTGAGGGAGGCGCAGTGGCAGCCAGCAGACGGCGATCGCCGCCTGCTCCGGGCCGCCTGGCTCGGGCCCTTAGCCCCCCCGCTCCCTCCTTCCTCCCGGGGCCGAGCTCGGCGAGGACACCTCGGGCACCTCCCGCTGCAGATTGTACCGGGGCGGGGAGCCGTGGCCGGGGCAGGAAGTCACCCCTCCGGCCGGCGTCCTAGCTGTCCAAGCCGGCACCTGCCCCCTCAGTGGGCCTGAGGGATAGGGGGGAGCGGCGAGGGCTCTTGCCGGACCTTTAGTCCTCTCAGGTAGTCTTTCAGTGCAGGGTGTCTTCTCCGCCCCCCCTTGGCTTCTCCGCAGCGTTTACCACGCACACACGGCTCCCGCCCCTCTGCCCGTGTCGTGAGACCCCACTTATTCCCGCCACCACTCGACTCCTGGCTCTTCGGAACTCCACTTTCCTCTATGAAAAGTCTAAGGACTTTTATCTCCCGGGGCAGCCCCCACCTGCACCACCCCAGCCCCTCCAGGATTGTTGCCTCTGCCAAAAGGCAGTCACGAAAGTGCTTGACCTCGCCCCTGTCCTGCAAGTGGGGATCGGCACCACCTTTACCACGGGAGAAAAGTCCCTCTCTGTATCTCGAGCTGGGTTTTAACCTACCCCATCCCTTTCTCCGGTCGATATACACCCTCCGGTCGCGAGGAGAGGGGTGCGCCTGGGGCAGAGGCAAGAAGGGTAACACCAATAGTACCTTCCCTCTCCCGCTCCTCGTCCGCGTTTGTCCACCCCAAAGGACCGAGTCCATGGCGGTTTGGCTGCTTTTAGGACAGGGTGGCTTGGTGTTTATTTGCCCGGGGCGCAGGAAGCCCCGCAAAGAAAGCCCAGGATGGGTTAGGGTGGCGTGGATGAGCGGTTGCCCCTTGCAGCGAGGACAGGAAGGGCAGGGTCAAATTCGGCCGACCTTGTGGGGAGAAGTGGGATGTATCCCCCATTCACAGGGACGATCCTGGGTTTTTGCGGGGCCCACGGGCTCTCAGGGTGCAAGGGACTCGTCCAAGAAAAGTTGTTCCACACCGATTCATCCCACTTACTTGCCGGGAGGCCTCCTGGTACCTGCGTATGAAAATTCAGGGAGAAATGTGGAAGATCTGCGAGCACTGTCATTTATCTAGCGGTTTTTACTCCTAATGACTTCTTTTGGCCATTCAAGTGGAAAGGCGCCTTCCTGCAGCAACCTTCTCTCCCCTCCCAACCAATTATATTTTCAATACATCATTTAGCAATCATATCGGCCTCGTTTGTTTTGCCCCTGCAGATGTGGCAACTCATCAGCCCAGCGAAATATCAACGCGTTCCCCCACCGCTTGGGATCTTCGGGCCGGCTGGAGGGGGCAAGGGTCCCTCCAAAGTCATCCCCATATACACCCAAGCTCTCAGCAGCATTCTGTTTGAGCCCGAAGGGGCCAAAGCGGGCCCATCCTGCAGCCATCAGGAATGGAGAGGTGCTTTCCTCTCCTTAGCAGACCCGGGTTATCATGATGAGATCGCTGTTTCACGACGACTCATTGGAAATGGGGAAAAAAAAAAATAAATTAAAAGAAGTCTAATGCTAGCCCAGCGCCTGAGGCTGGAGCTTTGTGCTCCTCCTGCAAAAAACTTCTGGCCGGTGATGACAGTCGATGGGGTGATTCCAGGCTCTGGAATCTAGGTGGCCTCTAGGGTCGGGAAAATGAACGCTTGCGGATCGGGGAAAGGGCAGGGATGCCGGGCCACCCCTCCCCTACCTGGCCACAGGCGATGGGGGCGGCGGTTTGTGTGCGACGGACCGGCCATTGCTACGGTTAAAGATTACAGAGAGGATTTATGAACGTTTTGTCCTCTCTATGAAATAACCGCAACGTCACAGGACAGCCAGGGCACAAAGACAGCTTTTTAATATTTTCGGGGTGGGGGAAGTCATGCTCCTGTACTTTATACAAATACAACATATACCTTCATTAGTCTCAGATGCTTGTACGCCCCTATAGTACTAAGTGCATAACGACCGCGACCAGCCTCTCCAGGGCCTGCGCCCAGCCTGGCAGCACCTTTAACACCGAGGAGAGGCATCCGTCTGCCCCCGCCTGCCCGCAGAGCTCCGGCTGAACACCGGAGCGGCTCAAATCCCGGGCAAACGACACGTTTAGATGCCGCTCGCACAGGTGCGGTAGCGACGAGAGCAGCCGGGTCCTGGCCGGGCAGCCCGAGGTGCCCCAGACTGCTCTAAACTCCTCGCTACGGCCGTCTAAGTGCCGGGCACGCAGGTGGGACGGGGCAGCCCGCGGTGCGAGGCCTCCCTCCAGCGATGCCCGGCGGGACGGGCGGGAGTGCCCAGTGTCCCGCCTGTTTGTGTGTGTGTACTGGGGGGCGCCTTCGGGGGGGGGGTGGGGAGGGCGGGACGGGGCGCGCCGTGACCTCACCGCCTGCCCCGGGCGCGGCCCCGCCGGACGTCACCTCTCAGCGCGCGCCACATGCAAATCATCGCCCGCCGTCGCTCCTCCATTGGCCGCCGCCAAGGCGATTTAAGGCGGGCTCAAGCGCGCGTTGTATGGCCGCAGCGCCGCGGGCCCGGCGGCTCCTCCTCCTCCTCTCCCGTCCCGTCCCATCCCCGTCTCCATCACCATCCCCGTCCCGTCCCGTCCCATCCGGGCCGCGGGAGGGAGATCGGCCACCGCCAGAGAAGTACAGTGTGCTTACCGCCGTCGGCTCGGCGCGTGTTTTGGTTGGGCTCCTTCCCCCACCCCCCTTCTTCCCTCCACCCCTCCCTCCCTCCACCGATCCTCCTCCCGCTTTTTTTTTTTTTTTTTAATTTACGTTTAAATACTTTTTTTCCCTTTTTTTCTCCCCCCCCCCCTCTTTTCCGCCCCCTCCCGCGCGGCGGTGGGCTCTCCCGTCTCTCTCTTCTCCTCCGTTCACCTGCGATCGGCGGATGCAAGTCACACACGCTCCCTCCCCTCCCTCCCTTCCCTCCCTTCGCTCTCTCTCCTTTCTCCCTCCAAGTTCTCAAAGAACAAACAAGCCGCCGCACCCGCAGCACCCGCAGCTCCGCGCGGGGCAAAGGAGAGCGCCAGCCGAGGGGTGCGCGGCGCCGCGGAGGGCTCCAGTCACCACCAGCCACCACCACAGACCCCCCCGCACCGAGCCGGGAACCTGCAGCGGGGAGAAAGTTTTCCGATCGCTCTCCTCGCGGTTTTCTCCTCCTCTCTCTCCTCCCTCTCCTCCTTTTTTTTTTCTATCCCTTTCCTTTTTTTTTTTTTTTTTTAATTATTTTTTGCACGGCGGTCGCTACCTCGACACGAACGGGCTTCGCCTCGCTCCGCTCCCCGTCCTCCCGGGCTTCGTCCTCTCCTATATGTGATTCCTTTTTCACTCCTGGCGCCGGTGGAAAATAAAAAAGCTACTTGAATGTACAGCATGATGATGGAGACGGACTTGCACTCCCCCGGCGGAGCCCAGGCCCCCACGAACCTCTCGGGGCAGACCGGAGCGGGAGGAGGTGGTGGCGGCGGCGGTGGCGGCGGCGGCGGCGGAGGGGGGAACAAAGCGAACCAGGACCGGGTCAAGAGACCCATGAACGCCTTCATGGTGTGGTCGCGGGGCCAGCGACGAAAGATGGCCCAGGAGAACCCCAAAATGCACAACTCGGAAATAAGCAAGCGCCTGGGGGCCGAGTGGAAAGTCATGTCGGAGGCCGAAAAGAGACCCTTCATCGACGAGGCGAAGCGGCTGCGGGCGCTGCACATGAAGGAGCACCCGGATTATAAATACCGGCCCCGGCGGAAGACCAAGACCCTGCTCAAGAAGGACAAGTACTCGCTGGCCGGGGGGCTGCTGAGCGCCGGCTCGGCCGGAGGAGGCCCGGCCGGCGTCGGAGTGGGCATGGGCGTCGGCGTCAGTCCCGGCGGCGTCGGGCAGCGGCTGGAGAGTCCCGGCGGCACGGCCGGCGGCGGCTACGCTCACATGAACGGCTGGGCCAACGGCGCCTACCCGGGCTCGGTGGCGGCGGCAGCGGCGGCAGCGGCGATGATGCAGGAGGCGCAGCTCGCCTACGGCCAGCACCCGGGCAGCGGGGGACACCCGCACCATCCGCACCCCCACCACCCACACCACCCGCACAACCCGCAGCCCATGCACCGCTACGACATGGGCACTCTGCAGTACAGCCCCATCTCCAACTCTCAGGGCTACATGAGCGCCTCACCCTCGGGCTACGGCGCCCTGCCCTACGGCTCCCAGCCCCACCAGAACTCGGCGGCGGCTGCGGCGGCAGCGGCGGCGGCGGCGGCCGCCTCTTCGGGGGCGCTGGGCGCCCTGGGCTCTCTGGTGAAGTCGGAGCCCAGCGTGAGCCCGCCCGTCACCTCACACTCGCGGGCCCCGTGCCCCGGGGACCTGCGGGAGATGATCAGCATGTACTTACCGGCGGGAGAAGGCGGGGATCCTGCGGCAGCAGCCGCCCAGAGCAGGCTTCACTCTCTGCCCCAGCACTACCAGAGCGCCAGCACGGGGGTGAACGGCACCGTCCCCTTGACGCATATCTGAGACCCTGCCGCCCTCCGGCACTGGCGCCGGGAGTGGCGGAGGAAGGCGCGGGCACCGGCATCGGCCTGGCCACCGGCCCCGGCCGCTGCCACCGCCTGCTCCTGTCCCGCCCGCCCGCCCGTGCCCCGGCCCCGCTACAGGCCCCGCTCCCGGGATCCCCCCTCTTATTTTTGCCTCTCGCTTCCCTTCCCTCCCAGCCTCCCCTGCCCCTCTTCTTTTATGTTTTGGTTTTTTTCTTTCTTCCTTCCTTTTTTGTACAGAAATGTTTTGATGTTCTTGTAATAATAATAATAAATAATAATAATAATAACGAGAGAGAAAAAGGTAACGGTTGCTTTACTTACCTTTTTTTTTTTTTTTAGAAGAACTAGTTTATGAAACCAGTTTTAGACTGAACTTCTGTGTTTTATCGAGACTTTTTGTACAGTATTTATCATCACCCAAGAGACATAGAGCGTTTATTTGCAAAAGAGGAGTGGGAAAGGGAAAAAAATACTACGGCGAAAAGGCGAAAATTGTCTATAATAACCACACAAAGTTGTTGTAGGTGATGCCAACTTTTATACCGCGCGGAACCGGTACAATTTCGGTCACGGATCGCTTCTTGCGAGGGCTTTTTATTGCCTAATTAACTCTAAGTTGATGGGGAAACAGTTCTCATTTATTACTCATGTACTAAGGCGAACCCAAAACAACACTTAAAAGTTTTCTGTAGATGTTCTAGCGTTTTTGTTTTCTGGGGTTATTTTTTTTATTCATTTCGTTATTTATACAACTTTTTTTTTTTTTTGTAAAACTTTATTGTATTTGTCTGTTTGCCCTTTGGTTTCGTTTGTTTCGCGTTGGGTTTTTTGTTTTGGGTTTTTGTTTTTTTGTTTGGCTTTTTTTGGTATCATTTCTTGTAAATACATTGTGAATAATTTTTATTTAGGCGTTACGAGGGATTTCAGATTGTGTATATAGTTTACTAAAAAAGCCTTTCTGCTAAACAGAAATCCTAAGGATGCGTTCAATTTTGAGTTAAATAAATTTCAAAGCGGAAAAAGTCACCTGTTATATTTTTATTATATATAATTTTATATGACCGCAGAACAAGCTAGTATTTGCTGTGGTATGTCTGGAAATGCAGCAGATAAACCTAGAATACGGGGAGGAAGTTTTTAACTGGAGAGGCGAGCAGAAAGACGTGTAATCCGGTAGTAAATGCTGATGTCTCCTGCCTAACCCGTATCCCTCCGGAGGGAGCAAAACTGATTTATTTTAACACTTGTTCCATACTGCGAGGGAAAGCAACTTACTGAATGACGCTTCCTAGGCGTAAACTTTCTTCGTATGGATTTCAGGGCAGTGCTGGCCGTCCGGACCTTGCCCGGAGCCATAACTTGCCCCTAGCCCGCCACTCGGCCGGGATAACGCCTGCCCGAGAAGCACCGACTGCCCCGGGGGAAGCGAAAGTACCGACGGACGCGCCCCTTCCCTTCTAATTAACGCCATGAAAAGCGAAAGCGCTTCGGTTTGAGCGTCTCGAAAAAAAAACGCACGACCTCTAAACCCCAAGCGCGAAAAGCAGCCCCTTTCCTTCCGGGCATCCCGAGAGGGGCGCTCGCAGGGAGCGGCGGGGCAGCGCTCCCGCCCCCGGAGAACAGAGCGCCGGTTTTAGCCGCTGCTGCCGTGGCGTCGAGCAGAACGGTGCGGGTCTGGTCATGGCAGAATGCTGATCCACGCTTTGAAATTTAATTTAATCATTCTCCTCCTCCCCCCTCCCCCGCGCCCCCCCCCCCAGCTGTTGATGGGTACCTTTCGATACGCTGGAATTAAGAGTTTGCTGTAAACTTCGGCTGATAGTAAGAACACCATTGAGCGCCGCTTTTAAATATCGTACTGTAACAAATAAATTTTTTAATCGGTCGTAACTGCTTAAACAATAGCGGAAAAAATACTTTTCACGTCCAGGGCGGTACTGTCGGTGGTAGCAGGCTGTGGGGCAGCTTGAACCACCTTTAGCGCTGGCGAAGAGTACTTCGTCCACTCAGGAGTGGGGGAAGTGTTACTTGGTTAATGAAGAGCCATTTAGGTCCGTGTTAGAGATTGCACTTCACCTGTAAAGCTGGCATGTCAACTGCCGCATAGAACTCTTCAGTGTCATTTTGACAATTTTGTTTCAATCTCTACTTCGTTAAAATGAAGGCAAAATTTTCATGGAAACTGCATTGATTTCAAACAAAAATTCAACCGTTCCACACACACCCTCTTTTTTTTTATTATTTTATTTTATTTTTTACTATTTAGCCTTGGTGAAGGCACGGTGTGTGCGGATTCAGACAGTCCCAGGCTCGTTTTGGAAACCCTCAGTTTACAAACAGCGCAGACAGAAAGCAGGAACCTGTGAGGAACCTTCCGTGGTGTGGGTCCCCTCCAGCCAAGCACAGTCCTGCACGTAGTTTAAGATACTAATAGGTGTGCCTTTAAATACACAGGATAAGCTGAGCACCTGTTGAAGTGTTTCTTGAAACGCATTATCAGCCGTGTATGTACGTGCTCACACATATCTACATATACTATAGATAGCATCATGGCCGGAGTGTGTGTGTACGTGTGCACATGCAGACGCATATACATCTGATGCAACCTCGTTACGTGCCTTTTCTTTAAGGGTCATAGCTATTGAAAATCACATTTACTGACAATGTGGAAGGGAAAAATCCCGGCGAGGAGTTCCTGTGTGGCTGCATAAGACTGATAGAACAGGCGGGATGGAGTAGTCAAGGGAGAAAAGCAAATAAACAGCTGTATGAGTCCAAAACATCAGAAATACTAGGGGAAAGCGCTGAAGAGAGGAATATTCCGACTTTCTAAATAAACTCCTTTTAACAAGTTTTCGCTCTTCGCCTCGCGATTTAGCGCCTCAATAGCGTTATGCCTGGAATAATAGGAATACCTGCACTTTGAACGCAAGGGGTTTAAACGGACCCTATCTCAGCTATATTCAAATAAGATTCGAATATTCTTAGACTGCCTTTCAAATAAATAAAATCCCCTCTGTCCAACCTCACCCCCCGCCCCCCCCAGAAAAAAGCCACCGCACCCCCCAACACCATGAGGGTAGAAATGTTTGCTATTCGTGGTTTACTGATTCGGCTGTTTAGGTTAATTCGAGTTAAACTTCACTTTCGGGCATACAAACAAAGTTAAAGCAACTTTGCTCGGCAGACGAGTTAGGTTTAGGTACAGTAAAAGAATTCGGTCTTCGGCCTTTTTGCTGTGCGGGTTATTTATAAAAGAATAATTGAACATGCAAAACTAAGAATAGGTCTAAGCGATTTATGGTTTAAGTACATTATACCTAAAACTGTACGAAATATTCCTCCTATAATATGATTGACAGAGCTATTAAAATCACCTATGCGGAAGAATTATTCAAAAAGAAAGTCATGTCGTTTTCAGTGAAAGGAAGGAAAATCCAGGGAGTAAGGTGAAAGGGAGCTAGCCAGAGGTGTCCTCTCTGCGGAACAGGGGGCTTGGAGTCAGGACCACCGACACCCTCCTAACACTCCCGATCACCGCTCTGCCTACAGGTCCCTCAGCCCCGGGCGGGGGGCTGCGGCAGAGGAGCCAGGAGGACAGGAGGCATAGTGCGATAACAGGTTTGATCCGCTCCAAACTTGGAGCCAAAGCGCAAACTTGGCTGAACTCCACAGCTCTTTTCCTAACGATTCTCCCTATTTTTATTTATTTTTTTCTTTTTCCTCTCTCTCTCCCTCCCTCCCCCCCCTCCCCCCTTCTCTTTCCCCTGAGGGACTCGCTGAGCTCGTAGGAGTGGCGCTGGGCCCCGGGGAAAAGCCGTTCCCTCCAGCTCCACTCCTACGCGCCCTCAACCGGAGTCACACCGCAGTGAGCCCGGGGGGGCGGGCACCGATGGAACTGCCCCCGGCCCCTGGGAGCAGCGGGGCGGCTGAAAAGAACCCATGGTATTCGGAAGGGGACACGTGAAATTGCCCCTGAAAACAAAAAGAGAGGAGTCCAAAAGTCTGCTCAGGGGGTCCTGAGGGCGCAGCCCCAAAGCGTTCGGACGGGCCATAACTGGTCAAGAAGGCCTCCGAGATGCCTCTGGCAAGGCGGGAGGGGGGTGATTCTCCCTGCCAGCTGCACTACATGCAGCAGCATCAGGGCTGAGGCACCGGAACGCGTGACGCGGGTGCAGCATTTTGTTTTGTGCAGAAACTGCTACGAAAGGAAATATATCTTTTAAAAATACTAAGAAAACCCCCACACAGCATCACCCCACACGGCTGAGAACCAAACGGCTAATCTGAGCGTTGCTGTGGAGCAAAACGCAGCTAAAACGCGCGATCTGGCAGGTGCCCGTGCGTTTGACGCATTAGCTGGAGGGACACGTTCCTGGGCCGGGCGCCGACCCTTTCCCGGGCCCCGCTATCCTCCCGCCTTTCCCTGTGACTCACCGACCTCCCCCTCGGCCCCGTTCTGTCCCGTCTCCCCCACACTTTCTACCCGCTTCCCCCGGCAGCTCCAGCTCTCCCCTTCCCTCTACAACACGTGGGGCGCTCGGGAGGGGGCAGCCTCGTGGGGGCGGGCAGTGGCAGAGTATCCGTGTGTCTGTCTGTCCGTGTGAGTGTTCGGGGGGGGCTGATCTTGCGGGAAGGGCCCTCCTCACTAAGCAAGCGTGTGTGTGTCTCCCCCCGTTAGTGGAGCAGTGGGTCTGGGGGGTGTCTTTCGAGGGCTGTGTGTGGGTGTCTGCGAGGTGCCCCCCGCGCCGTCGGGGTGTGTGTGTGCAGAAGAATGATGCAAGAGGAAGATGAGGGTGGAAGGGGGCAGGGGGGTTGGGGGGGGGAAGAGGAGAGAGAGAGAGAGGGAGAACGCAGGGAGGAGGAGGGGGGACGATGTTTGGAGAGCGAGGGATTAGTGAGGAGAGTCCTGACCCCGGGATCAACGGCCAGTCAAACCCGTTTACAATCACGCAGCGGAACACCGACGGCTCCCGCTGCAAGGCAGCGGCCTGCCGGGCAGCCAGCGAAACCGGGCCCCATCCGCGGAGCGGGAGGCTGTGGGTGGGGCCCGTCCCGGCTCCGAAGAGAAGGGAGAGGCCACAGGCTGGGAGGGTTTGCGAAGGAGAGTTGCCAGCGGGAGGTCGGGGGCTGCAGGGGGTGACCGACGGGACGATGCTGCGTGCGCCCCGTCTCCTGGCCGCACCGCGGAGCAGGAGGGAAGGGAAGGAGGGGGACATAGACTTGAGGGGGAGGGGGTTATGGGAGGGCGGGCCAAGATAGCTGGGAAAAACAAACCCGTTGCTGCCAGCCGGGAAAGGCCGCTCTTGAACTCCACACGGGACCCTCCCGGGCTGGGCTGCGGGGCTCCCAGCGACACCAAAGCCCGGCTCCAGTCATGCGTTTAGCGGCGGGCAGGCGCAGGCCGCCCTCCCGGACCGCAGGCCATCTGCCTCACGGCTACCGGGTGCGGGGGGGCTAAGGGGGGCACCCCCCGACGAGCCGGCGGTAGCGGGTGGGCTCCTTGGCCTCCACTCCGCTCCCCGCGGGGCACCGGCGCCGCCACTCCGCCGGGCTGCTCCCACTCCACACACGCAGACACTGCACGGGGGGAAGAGAGCACAACACACTGTAACAAATATCGGGGGAGGCTGGGAGGGGGGAGCAAGCGGTCTTTCCATCTAGTGGCATTTTAGCTTCTCCTCTTCTGGAAAACACAGCACCCCCTAAACCGAGGACGCTTGGAGCTATCCCATTATCAACGTCGAGCACCTTTGTGCGC